AAATTCCCTTCTGAAAAACACGTGTGTATTTAAGGTGGAAAATGTTTGATATGAGCATTCAATTCTTAAAGGTTTAATTCTATAATCATTTTGTTTAGTTATGTAAATAAATTTAACACGACTTGTACTGTTTATCTGAGTGAAAGGAGAGCTGCGGGTTTTCCCTTTCCTTTATTTACACTTTCAAATATGACCGCTTAACAAAAATGCACGGGCTCACTGGCTTACAACCTTGGCGAATTCATATGCAGGCCTGGTCGCAAATCAATCACCCAGTTAGTGCTCATTTTTTGCTTGAATCTGGCCTGTTAGTCACTATGTGCTCTGACTGACTTGCAAATTGTATATTTCCTGCTGCTGTAATATCAAGATGGAAGCGATAGAGACTATTCATGAAGTTGAGAAAACAGAAAAGGCTTTTCTTCAAGAATTCATATCAACTCTTCCTTAACTCCCGTCATGTAGCTTTATCAGATCGGAATGAGGCTAACAACTATTACTAAGAGGAAAATATACATGAAGTCAAAGGCAGCCGCATATGGCAGTTAGCACAGGAAGTTGCTTTTATTCTTATTCTTTATTGTAATAAAGTTTGACGATTCAGCTCTCAAACGATTATGTTTACATCCTGTTTGCTGTGAACTGAAGAGAGCCATTGAAAGCCATTGTTTTTCTTTTTCTAACAGTAAGGGTTATGTACTTGTCCCAAATGATCGCTATACAGACTTGTGGCAAACAAGAMAGTTTCTTCTGTACTTGTTGGAGGAGCAAGCATCAAATAATGTTTCTTACTGATTTCTAGTTCCTTTTACTGAATGCCTCCTGGTAAGTAGTTTATTATGTTTATTGTCGATCATGTCAGGTCGATGTCAGGTCGATGTAGGGTCGATGCCAGGTCGATGTCGAGTCGATGTGGGGTCGATGTCAGGTCAATGTCAGGTAGATGTCAGGTAGATGTCAGGTAGATGTCATGTCGATGTCGATGTCGGGTCGAAGTAAGGTTGATGTAGCATGTCAGGTCGGGGTCAGGTCGGTGTCAGGTCGATGTAGGGTCGATGTCAGGTCGATGTCAAAGGTCGATGTAGGGCTGATGTCAGGTCGGTGTCAGGTCGATCTAATGTGTGTGAGTGGAAATTATTCAAGTTTAAACGCTGACTTTTAAGAAATTAAACTTTCTAGAACTGAAAAAAAGCAGCCCCGCAAATCTTTTATGCTATAAAAAAGAGAGGTTTTCGTCAAATTTGTCATTTGAGAATTGAATATTTGAATATGATAATGACTACTTTTCATATTTGCGATGAAATTCTTCCGAACATTGAAATAGATCAAATATAAGACATCAATTGTTTACGTTCTTTAATCATTAAATCCATAAACATGTACAACATAACAGAAATAGTATTAATRCATTTCTCTTTGATGGTGTACCTAAGCT